ATCATATTACATATGTACATATTTACTACATTCGTACTTGCTGTGACTTGTTATTTCTGCGTACCTCTATAAAAGAGAAACACTACACATGTACCTGCATTAGCGAGAAACTCGGGTTGGTGAGAAACCTTTTTAAGCGAGAATAAGATTGTGCTCCGTTGAATCCTCGCTTATACAGGATTGACTGTATGTCGTAGGTTGCTTTAGCTCAATATAAAATCATTTAAAATGAATTTTTGATAACTACCGGTTGCAAGGAACTCGAGAAGTTGTGGTAACAACCAATGAGTCCTCATTTAATAAACATTATTTAAAAGCCCTTTAATTGCTAATAAAACTTTTGATCTTTGAGTGACCACGAAGGCTTCTTCTGCTGCGTAGAACATCAGTTTTGGTCCCATTTTAATAATTATCCGCCTCTTTGTGAGTAATAACTGAAATGAGGTGTTTTGATTTTTCGTTTAAAAACTTTGCAGAGAAGATAATGTTGGGGCAATCAACTTGATATGCTATTGGAATGGGGTACCTTTGCGATCTTTCATTTAATTTTTATACTCCCGCAACAAAGTTGCTAAAGAGAGTATTATAGTTTTGTTCACATAACGGTTGTTTGTAAGTCATCAAGGTGACGAGTAATCAGGGTGACGAGTAGAGTTGAAATCCGGATGTCTGTCTGTCCGTCCGTCCGTGCGAGTTGTAACTTGAGTAAAAATTGAGATATCATGATGAAACTTGGTACACGTATTTCTTGCCGCCATAAGGTTAAGTTCGAAGATGGGCAAAATCGGCCCACTGCCACGCCCACAAAATGGCGGAAACCGAAAGCTTATAAAGTGTCATAACTAAGCCATAAATAAAGATATTAAAGTGAAATTTTGCACAAAAGATCGCATTAGGGAGGGACATATTTGGACGTAATTTTTTTTGGAAAAGTGGGCGTGGCCCCGCCCCCTACTAACCTTTTTGTACATATCTCGAAAACTACTATAGCTATGTCAACCAAACTGTATTGAGTCGTTTCTTTTAGGTATTTCCATATACAGTTCAAAAATGGAAGAAATCGGATAATGACCACGCCCACCTCCCATACAAAGGTTATGTTGAAAATCACTAAAAGTGCGTTAACCGACTAACAAAAAACGTCAGAAACACTAAATTTTACGGAAGAAATGTTAGAAGGAAGCTGCATCCAGGCTTTTCTTAAAAATGGAAAATGGGCGTGGCGTCGCCCACTTATGGACCAAAAACTATATCTCAGGAAGTACTCTACCGATTTCAATGAAATTCGGTACATAATATTTTCTTAACTCCCAAATATGGGTGAAATCGGTTCACAACGACGCCTGAAATCTCGATTATCACTTTATCATGCGAGAGTATAAAATGTTCGGTGACACCCGAACTTAGTCCTTCCTTACTTGTTTTTTTTATAAATGTCTTAGCTCCACTTCAGTACTCTCATTAAGACAGTACTTATGTGTACTCCAATCCCATAAATTCTGTTACAAATCCTCTTAGCTCTTTGTGAATATCACTTTCCAATGGCAATTTGTTGTTGGGAATTCGGTTTGCGCTCACTGTACCTCCACTATAAATACTCGTACTTCTAGCATGTAACTGTACCAACAATGGAAGTGTTGTGTAAAAATTATCAAAATAAATAATGTGGTTAATAAAATTGTTCACCGTTTCGGCTAATCGGAGGAAACCCTTAGCCGAGGAGCCATTTTCTGGGTACCAGGCAAAATTACATTTACTCCTGCCGTTCCCACGACAGTAACCGGCACGGACCCGAATTTTTATCTGGCCAAAGACTGTCCATTCGCAGAATTCTACCGCTACAACAACAACAACATTATCTCCTGCGCCGCTATAAATTTGAATAGAGATGATTAATAAGACCAAATACCTTGGTCTCACGGTGCATTCCACTCTACGTTGGAAGCGTCATATTAACCTTACCATAATCAAAGCTATTAAAGCACTACTGGTGTGCAATCGGCTAGTTGGTAAATCCTTGGTTTGCAATCAAGGATTGTCAAGGGTTGTGCATCCTGAACGTGCGACCAATTATCACGTATGGAGCCGTGGCTAGAGCCTCAAGAGCATCGCAGACTTCGGTAGGACTTCCACTACAGAAGCAGGAACGATTCGCCTGCATTTGCTTGTCGGGTGCCATGCACACAATCACAACGACAACACTTGAAGTTATTCTTGAACTCACACCCCTTCATTTAGTAATGAATCAGGTATCTAAACACACACTGCTTAAAATTATAGCAGAAGGGTTTCGCAGAGCTAAGGAAATCTCTTCTAGGCATATGAAGCATTTAATCGGTGATATATGATTAGCTCTTCTCCCAAGGGACAGCATTACCAAAAGAGTAAACTTCACTAAGAAGTTCAAAGTTACCCTTAGCAGTAAGGCTAAATGGATGATTCTATTATCGAGCTATTGCTTCGGGGTAGTACAGAAAATTGGTACACCAACGGCTCAAAAACGTCGGAGGGAATTTGTGCTGGAGTCGCCGGATTACGCACCAAACTCTCTATACCTATGGGAAGTTTTGCGAGCAGAGCTTTTTGCTATAAGTCGGTGCGTAGAGATAAACCTCCAACGCAACAATCGCAACGAACGTGTAGAACGACTAAACAGTTTATCAGAACATAACTAAGTACACATATGTATTTGAGTATCCGGTCTCAAAGGTATAATCAAGAATGAACTGGCTGACGAGCTCGCCCGCTCCGCAGCATCTACCAACAAGGTAGGGCCGGAATCCTTTATTGTTGTTGGTCCTCATACCATAAAAGAGGTGATCCGTAACGAGGGAGAGGTATTGACAACAATTCCAAGGCTTACACCATGTTAAGTGCTAATGGATCGTTAAAACCTCAACAGGTGATTTGAGGCATTCTGCACTGGCCACTGTAAGCATTAGAAGCATTTACATAACATGGACCTAGAACTGCGGAATGACTGGGGGTTCACATCGTCACATTTACATATAGTAGTACAGTGGTACCTCGACATACGAGTGAACCAATATACGAGTTTTTCGAGATACGAGCCGACGAGAAAGTGATTTTTTGCGTTTAGTTACGAGCGAAATTCGAGATACGAGTGGTGTGAAGCTTTAGCTGAAAGGATTTATGAAAAATTGGAACCCGGTGTTTCAGTAGAGGAGGAGATTGTATCTCTGGGGAAATCCATGGGTCTAGAGGTGGAAGAGAGAGACGTGAACGAGCTTATCGAGGAGCACACCCAGGAACTGACGACTGAGGAGATACAAAAGTTACAGTCACAGCAGCATACTGAGGTTATGCAAGAAATTGGTTTTGAGGAGTCAGAGGAGGAGGTTATTTCTACAAGTGAGATAAAGGAGATCTTAGGAATGTGGGAAAGGGTTTCAAAGTTCGTGAAAAAAAAACACCCAGGAAAGTGGCAAAATGTCGTGCATCTGACCTTTTTAATGACCTTGCCTAACTCATTTCCGGTACATTCTGAGAGGGAGGAAGAAAAAAAACCTCCTTGGACATGTTTTTTTTAAACGGTCTACAGCTGAAAGCGAGAAAAATATAGCGAAAAAGGCAAAGACCAGTGAGGATACCTAATTTATTTCTTTACATTTTCTTTTTTGTTTTTGTGTAATAAGTATTTGATATTTATAAATACGTTTTTATTATTCAAAACCACGTAACAAAAATAACTGGGGTGACATTTTGTAGGTTGGAACGGATTAATGGTAGTTCAATTGTTTTGTATGGGGAAATTTGCTTCGAGATACGAGTAATTCAAGATAATAGCAAGGTTGCGGAACGAATTAAGCTCGTATGTCGAGGTACCACTGTATATTGGAACTTATCAATATGCTGGGGCTAAGTCTGCCGTTATCTTAAGTAAAGAATCTTACCAGAACGATTAAAATCGCCAGACGAAGGAAAAATGTGTTCAATCGATGACAAAGTCCATCGAGGTCATTTCAACGGCTTATGGAAAGTCTTGGATTGAGCTTTATAATTTATTTCAGTAGGGCTTACTACTTCACTACTCAACTATTCACAGAATTCGACCTCGTCAAACAGTCTCTATAATACTTTATCGCTTAAGCTAGATAATTTAAAACGTTTCTGTACACGCTCTGCCTTTTTTGTGCTTTATTTTCACAAAAAAAAAAAAAAAAACGATTGAAAACTGAAGACAACAAGGAACACTGCAATAAGAGTGAGGAAAAAAGCGGCAAAAAATAATGTCCAAAAGTGCCTCAAGGCTCTGTTTAGCAAAACGCCACTGACACTTAATTCAAAGGAAGGAAACTTCATAGTAGTAAAAGATTATGATCGCGATCGCAGCAACCAAAAACACTTAAATCGGTATTGCACCTGACCGAGGTGGAGTTTGGATGTATGCCCCACAAACCCTACTCATCTAACACCCTCCTCCCTTTGGCCCGACCCCGTCGAAACAGCACGTTTCCTGGGCCTCCCGTTAGATGACCTTAACGACCAGCCTAACGGGAGCTTTAAAGCTTTTACCAGTATTTTCAAAATTCTATTAGCAACGTGCACTATAAGCAAATAATAGAATGTTGATGCCTGTTTCAGTCATCAAGGACCCTGAAGGTCTTAAGAATCAACGACACAATGTTTTGAGTTTCTTAAAACAAAACCTCAACAAGACTTAAGAATTTATTGTACCAACTTTTCAATAGTTTGGCTTTTATTTCGACTCATTCGTCATTTACATTCCTATTTAACAAGTGTTAAGATCTTTAATTTAAATACATATTTCAATTAATTTTGTATTTAAATATTTACGTGTCGATTTCAATGTTAAAATGGCAGTTTTAAAGTTTTAGCTATTTATTTGCCGTAACTTTTCCCACATTGCAGCTGTTGAATTTGTCGACTACAGTTGACTTCGCTTTACAATAAGCTACGGAATATATTCGAATAACTCTAACCAAATATTTATATAATGGAATTAAATCAGAAGTGAATAAATTAAAGTTGTTTTTTATTTCACATTGATTTTATTTAATTCTCTTAAAGAATCACATTCTTCACACAATTTATTTTCAGTGTATTCGCACATTACTATTCATTAATAGTTTTTGTCGTAGTTTTTATTCAATTTAATTGTAATTGGCCAAAATGTTAAATATTTAGTTATATACTTTCTCATACTATATTGTTTCACTTTTTAATAGCTGAACATAAAAATGGAAATTTACGTTAATAATAGAGTAACATACATTTGCAACGCTTGCATAAGTAATGCAAATAAAGCAATTAAATAGAAGAGTTTATTAACTTCGCAGAAAGAATAAATATTCAACTCAATTGCATTACTTGCACTTGTGTTCAGCAACTGCAAGAGTGTGCATGTGTATAAAAGTGCCAACATTACAATAAATGCGTCGGCACCATTTAAATAATTATCTTTTATATCATTATAATAAGCATAATAAGACTCTTCTAATTTTAATAATACGAAAAAATGCAGCTTGATCATTAGTTATTGACTTTAAGTATTACATACGACGAATTACATTACAACTTAGCAACATTACACAGATACATTTCATTGTATTACGAAGATTTAACACAGCATACGTAGAAAAGGTTGATGTCTGCGTTAACCTCAATTATATCTGGCTAACCGTTGCGAGTTTTCGTAAACGATGCCAAATTGCACGATCGACGTACTTAAAACAGAATTTTAAAATAAGTGGAATTTTATAAATTGCATAATAGGTAGAGGAGGAAAACAATTCTGCGAGCACAGTCTGATACATATATGATTATGTCATGGTGCCAAATACAGGATTATGACGACAAATTCCTGGACCATATTCCTCATAAGCAGCCTTTGTGTGGCACACTTGATAAAACTCAGGCTGCAAGGTAAAAAACAAAGCGTATGAGTATATATAAGCCTTACGTACTTTGAGCAATAAAGGTAATTACCGTGGATGCCAACATGCTGCCTCCAAACCACACAGCATATCGCTGCATATGATGTGTTATGACTTGTACATCGATTGGTTTTGGCTAAAAACACACAATGTAGGTATGGATGTGTTATTTCTTTAGGCATGCCAATTTATGCTTACCTTAATGCGGCCTTCAGATAAGTTTTCGCTGATTCGGAGGCGTGTGTCAACAGATCGTTTGATATCACGCTGTAAACGGCGTCCGAAATCTTTGAACATCGTGGAACCTCCGCTCAATACTATATTATTGTATAGGGGTCGTCGCACATCAATCGGGCAATTTTGTATGACGTTGTCTACGATTTCCGATAGTGGAGTTGTGAAATCGGGGTTCGAAAATTCGGGATGGAAGAAAATCTCAGGTCCTAAAACGTAGGTAATAAATTTTTAATATGAAAGAGAAAATTTATATGCATAATATATAGTGCATACCTAAGAAACGTTCGTAACCTACATCGACGCTGAATGGATTCTTGGTCACCGCATTTGTACCCGTATAGTTGCGTATCCATTTGCCCGGCTCCGTATCATATTTGGCAAATTCTTTGGCAATGTCTGGACAAATATAACAGTGCTTCTCCTTAATCGCTTTGGCAGTTTCTAAACTTTGCTCTGGCGGTATGCCTACTTCACGTTCGCGCAATAAACTCTGTATGAATGAGGTGATATTGCGACCAGCAATGGGAATATGTTTGATACAAGAACCAATTACGTAGCCCTCAGCCTGAAAAGAGTTTTGTAGATAAAAAATTACACATATCTGCTTGAATTTTGTACAGAAAATTTTCTATTAGCGGTAAAATAAATATTGACATATTGAGCATTCATATCGATGACTATTTTGCTGAGATAAGATAAAGTTTCTAATACAATAAGTCGCCGTCAACAATTGAAAGACCACTGTTATATTTATATATGATTTAAATACATACCACGGGTATAACGTGTGTTACACCGTCACCGCTATCGACAACGATGCCTGTTAGTGTACGTCCTTCTACAGGCCTGGCGGCCCAACTCGCGGCCAAAGCAAGTACAGCCTATAGAAAAAATACGTATATATGTGATCAGATTTGATTTTCTTTCAAAATATATACACACACACACCTGCACGGCGATATAGAGACCAGGAACATTAAATGTTTCAAACATAATCTCAGCGGTATATTCGCGATTCTCTGGCGTGTTAAGCGGTGGTTCAGTGAGCAAAAAATGATGATCTTCGGGTTCTGCACGCAGATATTTAAAAATGCACTGCTCCAGAAAACGTTCCATTAAGTCCCAATCTTCCACCAATCCATGACGGACTGGATACTGTAAGCGAAGTTAACATTATTAAGTTAATAATTCTTCTGAAAGTGTTATCTCAAATTATTAGTCATCATTAGTCATGGCGTTTTTATATATTTTTTTTATTTTTTTACTTGCCTTAACTGAGTAACCAGTAGCATCGAATGCCTCGTCGCCAATAAAGAAATCTAAATCTTCAACACCCTTCGTTATTCTCCTGGTGTTAGTGTCACCAACTCGCGCGGTCTCCTTAATTGCAATGGCCGACGGAATAATAAATTGCGGCTCTTTGTTACCCGCATAACCCAACTTTGTATAACTGTGAAATAGAAATTTTTCGTTTCATGAGAAATTTGCAAAATATGGAGTATATTTGCACGCATTTTTCTCCTTTTTTATTTTGCTTTGTTGGGGGCCGCTTGTACACCAATACGTACACATACCGTGATCAATGAACCAGCGACCTCCTTTTTTGCTGCAAATGTTCGCTCACTCACCCTGTGCCAACATCGATCACACAAGCCGGTAAACGTCCTGCCATTATGCTGTTACTTTAATCTTTAACTTTTACACTTTCACAAATAACTTTAACAGTTTTTTATAAGCTAACGCATTAATCTAATAGTAAAATTTATGTTTTTCAACCACACCTTATTTCTTGTTCAACGCACTTTTCCTTCTTTTATCGAGAAACGAAAAAAAACGCTGACATTTAATGATTCTGTCAATTATATGCGTCACAATGACAGTTGACAAACAATAAGAAAAAAACAAATATAACAGTTTGAAGGCATTGCCAGTAGGGTTTGAAGTGACGACGAAAATATTGTTTTGTGTGAAATATGGGTTAATATGTTCACTAAGCAACCATTGAAGCGTTACAATATTATTTTTTTTTAAATATTTGTTGTTTGACAAAAGGTCAAAGTTAATTCAGAATAATTATTTATTGCAATTACATAGTTTTCAATGGTTATTGCTTCTTACGAATTAATTGACTAGAAGAATGGCATCTCTATTCCAAATTGACAGAACGTAGTTGACGAAGGTTTTGCAAAGAAAATAAAAAGTTTTTATCATCTGTAAAAAATTGAAAAGTGCAAATAATAGACAGTGCTATACATTCATATTAAATTTAACGCAATTTTATAAAGTAAATTGAACTTGTAAACGCAATAATTTGTATATGCATTGCAAAACATTAGCTTATTCAATATTTGACATTGGCTGCTGAAATTTAGAGCTTAAAAACGGCAGTGTTATAGTACCAGTGGTCGTATGATACCAAAAAGCAAAAACATATAGAAAGTGGGCGACGTAAGTAGTCTTGATGGAAATACCCCCACCATAATTGAATTTCGTACAACAAAGGCAAGTATGTATGAGGTGCGACGTAATATTGCAAGGTGAAATAATAATAAAAGAAAAAACATGTTTCCTTTAAATAGCTTATCTTTTAGACAAGAAAAGAACAGCAATAAAGAAATAAACACAAGGCTTGTAATCTAACAACTTTTTACAAGCTCTTGTTTCGTGCGCTCTTATATTTAAAATTCGTTGCATTGCTGGTCAACTAACATTAAACCACAGTGTCTACCTACGAGAGCATGGATTTGCAGCATATGGAGAATGGCATCAGTGGCGGTGGCCACGGTGCTGTTGCCGGCCAAACTGCTGGCTTCAGTGAAACGGACTTTCAACGACTTGCCCAAACCATTGCAACAAGCATACAAAAAATATTGCAAAATGGTAAATGTTGTTAACTTGCCTAACTACCATATATTTGTAATTAAAATAAATAAACAAATTACAGTATCAACCATGCAACGTATGGTCAACCAATTTAATACCCCACAGGATTCCCCCGATTTGAAGAAACAGCTGTGAGTTTCCCAAATGAATTTAAAAAAATAATTGTGAATTTTATGTTTTTATTTAATTCAATTTAGACATCAAATAATGACCTACACTCATCAGCTGGTTTCGGATACAAATAATCACTTAAAAGAGGTGGATAAGTGCAAAGAACGCCATTTAAAAATACAACGTGATCGTTTGGTGGACGAATTCACTGCTGCTTTAACAGCATTTCAGGTAAAAGCAATGTACATTTCGTCACAAAATGTTTATGAAACTGTCACACATATTGCATATACTTATTAGATAAAGCAAATATGGTTTCTATTTCTCAGTTCGGTTTTGTCTTTTTATTTTTACATGCACATAGTATTACTCATTCACTATCTGTTTTGAGTTAATCTGGGGTTATCTTTATTATGTGTTTTAAATATTGGCAATAACTACTCTACTAATAAAGACATAAATAATTTCATTAGACCGTGTAGTCGTCTAAAGTACTTTCTAGCAGAAAACTTTGTCTAGTTAGAAAATATTTCCAATGTGATGTTCATATTTTTATACTCTTGCAACGTGTTGTTTTTGTTTACCTAACCGTTGTACGTATCACCTCGAACTAAATAGATACATTCCCGATACCCACGACAGTCGGTTCTAAAATTGTTCAAATTGTCAAGTACAATTTTTATACACTGAAAATTTTTATTACGTTTGCCACAAAGTTTGTAACACCCAGAAGCAAACGTCGAAGACCCTATAAAACCTAGTCTGTAGTCTGTATAAATGCGCTGAAATTTTGAACAAGTGCTTCGCTGCCAAAGAAGCTGCTCGTTTGTCGGAACAGCCGATATCGGTGTATACAACAACAAAAATTCACTTAATACAGTATATTTTACACGTTAACCTTCTTGTTTTTTTTTTTTTTTGTAAAAATTGTATTCAGTTTCATTTGTATGGTTAATAAAACTATGATATTTTAATTGGCATTAATTAATTAATAAATCTATTTTACAATTTGAAAGGGGGTACAACGTAAGACCGTCGATATCGAAAAGAATGCTGTTCGACAAGCGCGTGCGCACAGCTATAATATTAGTAAACCACCGGGCACGAATAGCAGCAGTGGCAGCGGCGGTGGCGGTACCAGTGGCAGCAACAACAGCGGCTCATTCTTCGAGGATAATTTTTTCAATCGTAAATCGAATCAATCACAGCAACAAACACAAATGCAGGAAGAAATCGATTTGCAAGCGCTGGAAGAACAAGAACGACAAATACGCGAACTGGAGGTAAACATAAATTCTATAAAAGTAAATTTGAAACTTATAATTAATGTAAACTTATCTTATATTAGGAAAATATTGTGGGTGTAAATGAGATATACAAGAAGCTTGGTGCTATGGTGTACGAACAGGGTCTAACCGTTGATTCAATTGAGTCGTCCGTGGAACAGACCAGTGTATTTGTGTCACAGGGAGCCGATAACCTGCGTAAAGCCAGTTCGTATAAAGTAAGTCAGTTAGTTGCAATAAAGTTTTATTTAATCAATTTGTACAATCAACTTTCTGTATTAATTTCAGAATAAACTACGCAAGAAGAAGCTCATATTGATCGGCATTCTCTCTGTAGTACTTTTCATCATCATTATGATACTGGTATTCGAGTTTAAAAAATAATTGCAAATGTGAACGAAAGAAAGTATTTTTTGCTGGCACTATGTTTTTGTTTTTGCATTCTACCATAAGCTGCTGCAAAGTTGCACTTAAAGTTTGTTTCGAACTTAAACATACATACATATATTTAACAGTTCAGGTGATATTTGAAAGCAAGCACTTTCCATGGAAGTCTAAATATATTAATAATAATCGACGATAACTTGTTAAAGTAGATGCAGAAGAAATCATAAGTGATGAAAAGGCGCATCCATTGTCAGTTCGCCAATTTGTACAAAATATGTATAGTATATGTATGTTTTCCAGTTTGAAACGGGTTGCATCACTTAATTTGCCACTTTAAACAACAAAAAAGGAAAAATTTCGAAAACGAGACCAAAAATTAAAAAAAAAAAATGAAATATTTATATAAAATGTATATTTTCATTTAGAACAAAACTATTTTGTGGCGGTCGATATTTATATATATATATTATTATATTGTATTATTTAACCTTAATATATAAATTTATACTTTTATGCAAAAAATTATATAAATATTTATTAACTCATATAACATACATATATAAGGCACTTAAATTTGTATGAACGTTAAATACGTTCGTATCTTTATGTATATGGAATTGTAGTGTGCAATTGTTAGCAACCAAAACACGCTTTGTGCTAAATGCCGAACGCTTTTATATTAATCCGCACTCAGTATGCGTACACAGTTCTTGTTTTCTCAAATTTACACAAAATTAATTTCATCAATTAGTTCATCATTATGTCTTTTGTTGCTTCATTCGATTTGTTTATATTTGATTCAGACTTAAAAAAGTGAGTTATTGTTGCTTGCTATTGCAATGAAAGCGAAAGCAGTTATTTTTATTTGGTTGGGAAATCGAAATATATGAATTAATACAAGAGATAAAAGACAGTAAATACATACGAACCAACTAAAAGAAATAATGTGACAACAAATAAAAACAAAAAAAAAAAAATTTTCCTTTTCTTGCTAATTTATTTGAGGAAGGGTTTGGCATATTTTTTTTAATGTCCTTAATAAGATATTCCCAGAAACACCTGATTGTTTCTGGTAGGAAATTGTGATATTTTTTGGTATTATCATTAAAGTAATGAAATGTATATGCTAGGGTCGTGGAATGGTGTGCTTGATATATGTGTTGAAGGTGGTAAGGAAAGAGTTGGTGAATAGCAGTACAGTGGTCGTTGAATATAAGGGATGCATCCGCATCCATCCATATTTTGAATCCAAGCATGTTATTCACAGAAGAATTATGAAGGTGATAATAATATAACAATTCTGTCGTTGATGTTCAATGTTCGTTTAAAGGCCACTTCGTCCCAAGGACTGGGTTTTGTTGAAGCGGTTACCTGATAACTTTATATTTATATTACACTCCAACTTTAGGATGATACCAAGACACTTGTGTTTTTGGAAAATTAGTGGTTCGGTATACAGTGAAAGCTTTATTAAATGGACGGTTTATTAAGCGGGCATCTTTATTTTTTTGATGTTTATTAAGGTCATTCTGTTAAGGAATCTAAACAGGGTTAGATCTTCGAAATAAACAATAAAATTAATATAACACCTGAAGTCCTGTAACCTCTCCACCGGTGTGCGTAAGCTAGACTGACAAAGCTTTGTCTAATCCGAAGAGACACGATGACCGAGTTGAATATCAATTCAATTGCTATGCTTCTTCGGATCCGAAGAAATTCATGAGCTATTTTATGCGGCTCTTTACACTGAACCCTTCGGTATATAAGCCAAACGATGTGTTACATAACAGATGCTCAAAATCCCTAAAGACTTCACTTGCTTTCACCTATGAGGAGGTTCAGAGTGTCATTTTCTTCTTTACTGGCGTGGACAACGCTTACCCGATTATAACCAAGTTAACAACAGCGCGCCAGTCGTTTCTTCTTTTCGCTACGTGGCACCAATTGGAGATTCCAAGCGAAGCCAGGTCCTTCTCCACCTGGTCTTTCCAACGGAGTGGAGGTTTTTCTCTTCCTCTGCCTCCCCCGGCGGGTACTTCATCGAATACCTTCAGAGCTGGAGAGTTTTCGTCCATTCGGACAACATGACCTATCCAGCGTAGCGCTAATCTGTTTTCGCTGAACTAGGTCAATGTCGTCGAATATCTCATTCAGCTCATCGTTCCATCGACTGCGATATTCGCCATCCCA